AGATAAAGCTGTTGGGATCTTTAACACTGTCATCAACCCCATGCTGAACCCAATCATCTACAGCCTCAGGAACCCCGATGTGCAGGGTGCCCTCTGGAGGACGTTCAGGGGGCTGCGGTCCCTGCACTAGGACGTCTCAAGTCCCCGTCCCTGTGTCTTTGTGGACTAAAGGAAAATTCTTCTAGAGCCTGGGACTAGGACAAAATGGCCCAGAACTATTTCTGTCTCCTCATGTGTGAGATAACTTTTTGTAGAGGATAGTTCGTGGTTCTCAAAGAAGCCCCAGCTTAATTATAGGCAATGGGTGTATATGTTCTGCTAGGGCAGCTCCTTTGAGAACACACAGCTTCAGTCACTGTGTCCTTCCTTTTCTGGGCAGAAGTGAAACTCAGGATGGTATGAGTGCTGACACATTCATGTTTTAGAGGAAACAACTCTTCGGCTGGCCATAGCCTGGGTTCTCAGGAGTTCCCTAGAAACCTCCCTCTACCTCAGGGTGTTCATATGTGGTTGGTCTTTATAGAAAATATAGGCCTAGAAATCAGGGCTATTTTATTTCTTCCATCAGTACTCTGTAATAAACACACACACACACACACACACACATATCTTTCCTGTCACACAAAGCTCTCATAGGATATAGAGGGAACAGACAAGCTGTGTGGTCATGCATTCTCTAGTAATTCTGGAGAACATGATACCCCAGGATGCAGCCCATGAACCTGTTTTTACATGTTAAAACTCCAATAACACATATATATCTTGTGAGGCAAAAATGAATTTTTCTTATCTACCCTTCCCTATATGCTTCAGATCTTTTAAAAAGATAAGAATTTATAATCTAGTCTGGGCACAGTGGCTCCTACCTGTAATCCCAGCACTTTTGGAGGCTGAAGCTGGATGATCGCAGGGGGCCAGAGGTTTGAGACCAGCATGAACAACATAGCGAGATCCCATTTCTGTAAAAAATAGAAAAATTAGCCAATGATGGTGGTGCATGCATGGAGTCCCAGCTACTTGGGAGGCTGAGGCAGGGGGATCACCTCAGCCTGAGCCCAGGAGTTTGAGGTTGCTGTGAGCTCTGATCATGACACAGCCATCTTGCTCAGGCAACAAAGCAAGATCCTGTCTCCAAAAGCAAACAAATGAATTCATAATCTGGACATTATTTATGTATTTCAGAAATTTCCAGACTACTCAATACAAAATTCCCTCTAAATTCTCACTCTTAGTCCCCAAACCTCCTAGCTGAGACAATCAATAACTGCTATGCATGTCATAGGTGATATCTCACTTAAATACCCATCATTTGTATGGGATCTTGGTGCTGATCTTGAACATTATCTCAGCAAGCATTACCTGCTTGCTGTTTATCACTGTTCAGTCCAGTCAGCAATTTAGCTACATTTTCCTTCCGGCTTCTCTTTTAGGACTAATTGCCCATTTATTGGTAGCTCTTTTGTGCCACTAATGTTTCCTGATTCATCTCCCTAAAATTGTTTTTGATCAGCTCCTACAACTTGGCTTCTCCATAATATTTTTTAGGAACAAGGGAATGGAAGGATGGGGGTAAAATAGAGATGAAGAGGAGTTTCGCAAAAGAGGGAAGCAACACAAGGTTGTCAGTGGAGAGTTAGTGAAAAAGTTAAGATGAAAGCCTGGGAACAGGGAAAAAGGATAGATTGCAAGCAGAGGGGGTTGAGAAGGAAAGATGGAGGTGTTAGAGAGGAACAGAAGTAGTACAGAGATAGAGTGGGAGATAAGAAAGCATGGATCAGATCCTCTAAGACTCTTAAAATACCAGAGGAAGAAAGTAGGGGGCGGGGATAAAATTAGTGGATTAGGGATGGGAGGTATGGGCTTCCCATCCTCTGTTGTCCAGCAGTAACTGATTCTGGTAACCCTGACACCTTCATGGTAGCCTGTCCTCTCCACCAAGAATGAAATAATATGTTAAGGTTTTCTACAGGTGCTAAAAACTGCACAGGGTACTTGTTTTCAGTTTCTCTAAGCAGAGGTGCTCCTAGAATCTCAGGAAGAAGGTTCGTCAGATGGCAGATACAGAGAAGGGAGGGATAGGTACTTCATTCAGCTGTGTGCATCCTAACATGTCATCAAAGATTGTGACTAACTGTCCAACGTACTCCAATGTTCATGGCCTTTTCTCTGTCAACAGACAGGATAAAATGTCTCTCTCCTGATTCCTTTTCAGTCACAAGATAAACTTCACAGACACAAGAGTGAGCTTCCTTTAAGGTTAAGAAAACTGCTAGGAAAGACCTGAGATGTGGTTCTCACTTCGTCATTTCTCTCATTCACAATGTCTTGACCTTGAGGAAGTTCATTACCTTCTCTGGGCCTACACTTGGCAGAAGGCACAAGGTAATGATTAAGGTTCTCCCACCACTAATGTTCTCTGATTCCATTAGTGTGATGAATAGAAGGTCTGTCTCTGTCTATCCTGAGTTACTACATCTTTGGCCACCACTCCTGCCTACCAGCAGTTAGAACTGCAGTACAACCAAGCTTATTGTTCATTCATCTCAAGCGTCCAGAGATGATTTTGGCTTGGCACTTTCACTGGGGTAGAATGGAGAAACTGGGTTCACCATCATAGAAAATGACCAGGGACACTGATTCCCAGCTCTCTGTTCACTCTCCAGCAATACATGGTTTCTTGAACAATGTGGATGATTCCTTTCCTTTTGGAATTTGTGTTCTTCCTTTTAAACTCCAAGCTAGAAATCCCTTCATTACTTAAACATTCCGTCATACATGTAACCATGTCATAAAAATCCAGACAATATAGAACATCACTGTCACCATTCCCATGATAATCTCATAATTTAAAAGTAACTATTCTTAATAATTTGGTGTTCGGCTTTCCAGACAAGTGAACACACAGACACACACACACATTTAAAGGGGTTTTGAGGTCACCAGATGAGGCAGTTTTGATGCAAGCATGAAGAGGCTTGATATAAAGTCTGTGTTGGGGGAATGAGGAACTCTGTGAGGAGCCCAAGTAAACCTCAGGTCCATATTTATTATCATGAAAGGGGAAGAAGTAGACAAAACTGCTTGCCCAACATTAGCACTGATTGGGAAGGACACGGAGAAGGTCAGATAGAATGTGACCTTTGTTTTGCAAAATCATAGACCTTGAGCACAGACCTTTGGAATCTGGAGAACCTTTACCATCACCATTAGGCCTGGTACTGCCACACCTCACATATCCATTCTCTCTTGGAGGCCAGTTTTCTGATCTCCTGCACCCACACAACTCACATGCAGTTCTCATGAATCTCTAGGTCTCTCAAGCAGGAAGTGAGTCTTAAGCTAAAGATCAGGGCTCAATTTTCCCTGCACACATTCAAAATTTACTTTTTCCTCTGTAGAAAAGTATAATTACGTAGTATTCTTACATGTCACCCTACAAATATGTCTTACCCATTTTAAAGGTTGCATAATATTCCATTCTATCTATAAATCATAATATATTTAACCAAATCCCTATTGATGTAATTTATTTCCTCGTTTTCCAACTTTAAAAATACTGAGATTAGTATTTATATATCTTTCCATACATCTGAAATTAATCCCACTGGCTAAGCTTATGAAAGTAATTTGTGCATGTGTTTGTACACGTAGGTATGTGCCTGTGCACTAAAGGGATTGTGAATACAAAGTTAAAATTTTGTTAAGTATTCTGCATTTCTATTTGCCAAAAAATGTGCATCACTCTACATCCCAATTAGCTGTGTATGAGAACGCTTATTATTTTATATCTTGGACTTCATTGGGTTCATATACTTTTATCTTTGAAAGTGATATAAAGTATTGAATTATTATTTAATTTGAATTTCCTTACTTATGGTTGACTAGGTTTTTACATACAGTTATAAATTACTTAACAATGGGGATTCTCAGAAATGTTTTGTTAGGTGATCATGTTGTACAAACTTCACAGAGGGTACTTACACGAGCTGGAGATTAAAGCCCATCACACACTGAGGCTACATGGAATGGCCTATTTCTCTGACCCCTGCTATGTATGTAGTCTGTCATTGGTGGAAATGTCATCAGGTGTCATGTGACCATATTTGGTAATTTGTATTTCTTCTTTGCAAATTGTCTGTGTCTAAATGTTTTGCCCCTTTGGTGGTAGTTTATCTTTTATTAATAACTGGTAGAAACACTTCATGTTTTTAGAGAGTAAAACTTTTGCTATATATATCACAAGCATATTTCCCCATTTGTCTTTCAGTTTGTGTAGGGCAGCGGTTCTCAACCTGTGGGTCGTGACCCACAGGAACTGTATTAAAGGGCCGTAGCATTGGGAAAGTTGAGAACCACTGGTGTAGGGTGTCTGCTGCCCAAATTATGTTTTACATTTTGATGAAGTTTGCCTTCTTTATTTTATCTCATGCTTAGAAAAAAAACTTTTTCATCTTATGTGTCTGATGTTTTTTCTAGCATTTTTACATTTAAGTCAAACATTTAATGTACTAAGAGCTTATATTTGTATATGTTCTAATTTTCTCCTGTGTCCCAATATAATAAAATGAAAGCTTGATAACCTCTATAATAT